AGTTTTAGGTTTAGATGTGACTAATCCCAGTTAGCAGGATAGTATTATGAAATAACCACAAAATTTGTTCTACAGAGCCTCAAACCACTACATTTAGAAATATTTTTAATACTTTATTATTTTTATTTTATATGTGTGAGTGTACTGCCTACATGTATGTAAGTGCGTCCATGGTGTGCAATGCCCACAGAGGTCAGAAAAGGGTGTTGGATCCCCTGGAACTGGAGTTACAGACAGTTGTTAGTTGCCATGTGGGTAGATGCTGGGACTCCAACTGGTGCCTCTGCAAGAGCAGCCTGTGCTCTTAACCACTGAGCTATCACTCCAGCCCCTAAAGGTAATTTAAAAGGCTGTTCAAAAAGCCTGGGGTGGTGGTGCACTCTTACATTATAAGTACTTGGGAGGTAGAGGGAAGAGGATTCTAAGATCTAGGCCATCCTTAGATATACAGAGCCCCATACTACCTCCAAAATAAATGAATAAATGAAATACATAATCATTAACTTAGCACATGCATATGAGAGCTGACTTAATAAAGGACTAGAGATGCTGCCCATGGCAGCCACCTAGCAAATGTCAGCTTGTGATAAAGCAAGGTTCCATCCAGGCTTCTGGGTAGTGCTCTGTCTCCTGTAGTCACAGTGACCAGCCCATCTGCACTCTACCCACCTGGTACCTGAGAAGGCAGCAGGGATGGTAACTGGTAAAGTACATCTCCCACGTGTGGCTTTCCTCACTGCATTAGCAGTAAATGTCCTATGTCAGGGCCCCAGTGTCTTCATGTCCACCTGCTACCATGACACACACAGTTGTCCCCGGCAGCTATACTGCCCTCTTCTGCTACATATTAACAGCACCTGATCATCATTTCAATAGCACACAATGCTTCTCAGAAGGAAGACTGCAAGCTTGTCAGACTCTGGCTTCATGCAGTCATGTGACTGCATTCTGATCAAGAGTCTCAAGCACATGCACTCAGGGTGAGTGGGAGGGAGGGAACCCTTCTGCTCTTTGGCTTGCCTTCCTGTTGGCTGAAGCAGCCATCCTGGGTCCTGAGGAAGACAAAGTCACAGGATGGAAGGACTGGATTTGTAGCCCAAGGAGTGGATACTATACTGTCCACATCTACATCCTAACTGAAACCTTTATTTTACAAAGCCAATGTTTTTTGTTTCCATCAAAATGGACAGACACTGTAACAACCTTCTCAACAGGCTTCCACATGGCCTGAACTGAACATGTTACTCTTTCTCCATGCCACATGCTGGCTGCTTTTAGGACACTGGGTAAGAAGGTCAGAAGTAGCACACCTCAAGGCAGGCAGCAAGGAGTCAGGCACACTGTGGGTGACATCCTTGACAAAGGCTTGGCACCCAATCTCAGAAAGAGTGTCTGAAAACCACAACACAGGGCACTTAAAACAGCTTCTGTCCCAATTAGCTTTGACTGTCAACTTGACATGGCCTAGAGTCTCAACTGAGGGACTGATCTGTGGTCATGTCTGTGAGACATTATCTTGACTGATGATTAATGTGGAAGGGCTTAACCCACTGTAGGTGGCAATATCCCTAGGCAGATAGGCCTAGGCTATATAAGAAAGCTAGCTGAAGCCAGGCATGGTAGCACACACCTTTAATTCCAGCACTCAGGAAGCAGAGGCAGGTGGATCTCTGTGAGATTAAGGCCAGCCTGGTCTATAGTCCTGGGACTACAAGAAGACACTGCTTCAAAAAATAAAGAAAAAAGCTAGCTGAACATGAGCTAGTGAGTGAGCCAGCAAGCAATGTTTATGGTTCTTGCTTCAAGCTCCTGCCTTGAGTTCCTGCCCTGACTTTGCTCAATGATGGGTTATGACCTGGAAGTGTAAGTCCAATAAACCCTTTCCTCCCCAAGATGCTTTTAGTCAGAGTATTTTATCACAGCAACAGATTAGGACAACTTCCTGATCGTGTTTGCCAAAGCTCCTTTGTGTGTATAACTCAAATGTGGGAGAGCCCTTCATTAAGGAGAGGTTACATGCTCCTTCTGTGTTATAACTATTATAGAAAAATGTTTTAACATAAAGTGATCTCACCAATGCAGCAAAATCTCTTGACTATAAAAATCAGAGGTTGGTCATGTAACCAAACATGAGGAAAGGGAGATTACTTACGGAGTCTGATGACAATCCTCAACTATACACAAGCAGGAACGATGGATTTGTTTTCCTGAACGCCTTCCTTTTTAGGAAATGCTCTGTCCATTTCAAGGGAATAAACCTTAACGCAAATTCCAAACATATAAAACTCTATCACCAAGTATGATGGCATATGCCTGTAATCCTAACACTTGAGAGGCAGAGGCAGGAAGATGATGAGTTTGAGGCCAGCATGGACTACATAGTGAGACTGCCTCAAAAAAATGAATACAGTGTTAAAGAAACAACTCTTTAGCTACTTCACTGCAAGAAACAAAGCTAAAAGAAACAACTGAACAAAAGCAATTCAAATCACGCAATATTTAAAGGTGTGTCTTATCCTACCAATTGCATTGACTGATATGTGTATACGGTGTAAAATACCAAATATGGAGAAATGTCACATGCCAAGGGACAGATGAAATAACTCACTTGTTCCCACAGTGAGAGCTGGATTTATTCCAGGAATCCTCCGTGAGCTGCCAGTTTCCAATGGATCCTTTCACAAATCCTGACACCACTATAAAGCCCAGGACCAGAACGTTGATACAAGTGAATATTTTGTTGACCATGGCTGATTCTTTCACACCAAGAGTTAAAAGTCCTAAAAAGGAGCACAAACAGAAAAGCAACTTGAAGTGTTAGCCATATACCAGTTTACATCCATCCAGAGATAAGAAAAGGAATAAGGCTGGTGGCAAAAGAAAAAGAAAAAGAATCCAAATGGCATGGAACCTCCAAAGATCTCTGCAAACCTCAAGAAACAGAGCTGAATTGGGTGTTTCTCTAAGAACAGAGACCTAAACAATCACAGCCAGTGGGGCACCCGCAAGCAATCCACATTCTCCATTGGCATTCTGGGCCCCTGGGAATTAAGGATGCCACTATGAATCACCAGAAGGCTGCAGGGGTCTGGACTATGACAGACAGCCTTCCACAGTGAGTAAGTGTGGACAGAGTCTCAATCCACGCACCAACCAAGGGAAGGATATCACAGGGAAATGATCCCTAAAACAGGATTTATTTTTCTCTAAGGAAAAGTCACTTGGCTCGGTTTCTTGGTAGGATGAGAAGCTTTCAAATGAGGAAATCATTCAGATTTAGGTGACAATGTTAGTCATGTTGAATGTTGACAATAACAAGTACTTGTGGTCCACTAACACACATAGGCCCCTCCTTGGACTTAGTGCCTATATAATAAGTTTGACCAGCTCCAGCTCATAAATGCACAGTAAAAACAAATGAACAAGTGACAAAGAAGCACTGGAACCTCAAAACAGCACTACCTTTAAAATCATCCTCCCACAGTTCCAGGGACGTGCACATTAGCATCAGTCTTAAGTCTCCTAGTGCCCTGTGCAGTAAAGGTCTGTTCCCCCAGGTGGTGCTACTGGGAGGTATGGAGCTTAGGAGGTCTTTACGTCATTAGGGCCATCCTTGGGTTGGTTCCACCCAGCTCCTGCCCTCCCTCTTTCTGTATCCAGCCTTGAATGAGCAGTTTCGCTCAGCCTCATGTTCTTGCCATGATATTCTGCCACATCACAGGCCCAAAGTAACAAGGCAAACTGATCATGGATTGAAACCTCTAATATCTTTAGATGATGTGGGTTCAGGTATTTGTTACAGTGACAGAAAGATGAGTGACACATGGCTAAACTGTGATGGGTCTGAAAAGGGACCTAGTGCCTCCCATGACAACTTTTACACATTTTTCAAAAGAAAAACTGCTATATACATAGGACTGAATTCTGAAATGCAAGTTATCAGCAGAAAACTGAGCAAACAGGTGAAGAAGTCATTGTGTGCCAATGTATTTTTTTCTTTAGTGTCCTTCCCTCCCTCCCTCTCATGTTTATGAAAATAAAACCCTACCTGTAGTTATACAAACTTATTTTCTGATACATGGTTCTGCCAGCTAGACCAAAAATACTGGGTGAGATTATTTCAATTACATACTGTGTAAGGAGAGGTATACTGTCTTTAAAATTCAGCCAAGACTTTCTAAGCTCTAATGTCTGGTGAGAAGGAAGCTGCATTTCAGCTCTGTGTGTATCTAGCAAATGTTCCATGGAGGAAAATGGTTCATCCAAGGGGCAGAGACACAGACAAACGTCATTAACAAGAAGTAGCCATTGGCTATGTCATGCAGCATGTGGAATTTCAAAAATTCAGCGACCACAACTTACTTACTGAAAGGGTGTTTTCATGGTTATTAAGGTATAAAACCACCCGAGACAGCTTAAAAGGCCCAGGCACACATGAGAGTTCCAGATGGAGCTCATTGCTCCACACTTTCCTGGCAGACCAACGACCACTTTCCTATCCAAATGGTCATCCGCTGAGTCAAAAGGATTTTTATTCCTGACTCATTTGGACAAAGAGCCTTCAGTGCTAACAAAATCCCACTCCAAAAATACGAAATACAGTCAGCACCGGAGATTCCGTTTGAATTAAATGGCATAGACCCTCAGCAGCTACTATGCAGGCCAACTATGTGTGGATCTGTAAGAAGTCATTGGGGCAGGGAGAAAACAAAGTTGTCTACATGCATTATGCAAAAACAAACAAAAGAAAGGAAGCAGAGGCACTGAAGAGACAACAAAGTAAGGAAGAGGGGGGCTAGCTTAGTAGAGCACAACCTGGCACAAGTGATGCCCTGCATTCCATCCCTAGTACCACCACATAAATAAATAACAAATAGACAAAACATAAATGCAAGCTTACTCGAGGACCTTTATCCATTATTCCAACTCATCTTTTTGTCAAAATGTGGTTTACCTGTTAAGATGAGAATTATAATCACAGAAAATATGTCAGGGTTTTGGGCCAGGATCCCAGGGGCATTCAGGGCCATGTGTTTCCGTGAGAACTCCCCAATAGGTTTGCCTATCAGCTCATCAAAAGTCGCACTCCAGGCTCTGGCCACACTTGAAGTACCTGCCACAAAAAAATATGGAGGCAATTAGAGAAGAGCAGCAACAGAGGGCCCTTCACCAAGCTTGATGTTTCTAATACCATCTATGCAGAGGGACAGACAGCAGGTATGTACACATACACACTGATTTACAAGGGTAACTCTTGATTTGATTCTAAACTGAAATTTACAACTTTTCAATTCTGTTGTATTGGTAGCAATGTGCATTTGCTAGAAATTATACTTTGAATTTTTATCTGTTCCAGGCTAGCAGTATTTTGTATGATTCTTTGTAATGATGCTCGCTGGAGAATGCAAGTGACCAGCCCATGACCACAAAAGACATGAGTGAAACTCTGCTGCTAGACTAGACTATTTGTAGGTTTGGTAGATTCCTGCACTTTGGACTGCTGATATCTTCCTTTTATTGGGGGGGGGGGTTCTGAGACAGGGTCTTGGTATACAGCCCAGGCTAGCCTCAAACTCAGCATCTTCCTGTTTCTGCTTCCCAAGTGCTGAGATCACAGGAGTGCACCACCACATTCAGTTTGACATTCTCGTGTTGACACGTTTATTGGCTGGGAAAACAGCCATATATATATTTAAAAGACAGTAAAAATGTATGTGTGTGTGTGTGTGCATATATACACACATCTATAATGAATGTTTATATGTATATATATATATATATATAAAACCTTACAAATCAATAATTTCCCTTACCAATGAATACATCCTGATAGCATTTATTCAATTCTAATTGTTTAACTGAAAAGAGAAATAGTGGCAACAAGTCAAGAAACTGATTTTATAGGACATTCCTGGGATAGGTGGTCAGACTGCAGAAACACTGCATAGGAAGTCCCTCCTCCATGAACCCCGGAGCAGCCAGCTTTCTATTTTGTACCTGAACCCAGAGGCTATGGCATCCCCAGAATGCAGAGCCAAGGACAGCAGCCCCTCATCTCTATGCACCAGGCCCAAGTCCCCCAGCCCCAAAGAACACAAAAAGAAGCTAAGTATGGTGGGGGCATACCTTTATCCCAGAATTCAGGCATCAGAGGCAGGTGGATCTCTGTGGGATGGAGGCCAGCCTGGTCTACACAGTGAGTTCCAGGCCAGATGGGACTAGAGGGAGACCTTGTCTCAAAAAAACCCAAAAGACCAAAAGAAGTTCTGTACCCCAATAGCCAAAAAGGCCTGGCTGTTTCTCTGGCTTTCTCTTTCTCATTCCATTCTGAAGACACTCTGCCTTTCTGGTGCTGCTTATCAGAAGTCAACACTAAAACTCCAATATTCGCATATGGCATGCTCCTCTCATTTCAGTGGGTCTTGCCCTTGCCCAGGACTTCGGTCTGAATCACCCATAGAATGTCAGATTGATCCACATAGGAATTCAATTTCATTATTTGATCTCATGTTTTTCTAACAACTCAAAAACTTAACCTCATTTCTTGATCCTGAACAGCAGTCTATTAGGAATTCTGTCCATGAAGGTCACAAACCTAGTGAAGAAAAACGGTCTGTCTGCCCTGTACCCGCAAAGGGGCCAGCTTACTGCAATAGGGTTCAACACTCTACCCTGCTGAATGCCCTAGCCTTTCTTCCCCAAGTCCCCCTGTCCCATTTCTGAATTGTGGCTAAGGCCAAGTACAAATATCCCTAACACTTGCATGAGTCTTACACAGGCAAACAGCACTTTGGTAAAGATTTTTATTTGTTGGCCTAGAAGCAGCAAACACTTCATGTACAATGTTGTATTTTATGCCCAGGAAAAGCCTCTGGAAACCTAACAATCCACTTAAAATAGCTACATTCCCACTGAGAGACTTCAGTATGTCCTATCGATAGCAATGTGCATTTGCTAGAAATTATACTCTGAATTTTTATCTTTTCTAGACTAACAGTAAGTATTTCGTATGCTATGATGAATGCTACACAGGAAAAAAATATGAATTTTGTATTAGAACTCTGAGAATGGATCTCACAGATACTACAGCTGCTGGAAAGAAGACGTGTCCACAGGGTGCCTAAGCCCTGATCTCTGCCTGCTAGCCTGCGGAGCTGACATCCCCCATGTAGACACGAGGCTGCAAGGACCAGGAGGTCCCTGAGGGCAGCTCTCATGTACAAATTTCCCTGTGGAAGTGGACACAAAGCACAGGGCTCCCACACCGCACCTCAAAATTTTCTAACAATTTCTAAAGAATGCATGCTAAAAAATATACTAAGTGGAGTGTTAAGTGGCCACCTGTCTTTCTTTTCTGACATGGCCATTTGTAACCTTTGCTTGTTCTTAAATTCAAGTGTTCATTTCTTTCCATTTAATGAACTCAACTTCAGTTATGATCACAAGACAGATAATCTGAAGAGAAATCAAGCATTTTCACACATCCAACTGAGATTTCATAATTTTTTGTTTCCCTCTATGTTGGGTGGTTGTGTTTGATGCTAGCACCCAGTGAAGCATTGTGAGGAAAGGGCCCCCTGGCAAGATGGAGAACCAGAGTGGACAATGGTTTAAAAATAGGCAGGGATTTTAATCCAGGTATTCTGCTTCTTAAATAGTTTTCAGGGGAAAAAAAATTGTAGCTATGTCTATAGTTAAAGAAAGTAATTATCTATAAAAACAACAGATATAATCCAAACATCCCAAGGACATTCAGTAAGTTATTCCGCTTTATAAACCTTCATGATGACATGTAGTCAGGAATATTACTATGGAGAAACACAGTAAAATGCCAGGCATGGTGGCATACACTTTTAATCCCAATGCTTGGAAGGCAGAGGTAGGCAGATCTCTGTGAAATAGAGGCCAGCTGGGGCTACAGGGTGACTCTGTTTCCAAAAAGAAAAAAGCACCCACAAGGCCCTGAGTCCAATCCCCTGTATCTCTCCTCAATATACACACACTTAGAATCACCTCTTTTTTTTTTTTTGGTTTTTTGAGACAGGGTCTCCTTGTAGCCCCAACTGGCCTGGAACTCTCTATATAGACCAGGCTGGCCTTGAACTTACAGAGATCTACCTGCCTCTGCCTCCTGCCTCTGCCTCCTGCCTCCTAAATGCTGGGATTAAAGGCTTGTGCCACCACATCCAGCTATCATCTCATTTATTAACAACAGGATATCCCCCCCAGACATATTGAGACCATGTCATATGCCTCCACAAAATGGCTAGCACAGAGCAATACTCAATAAATACTATTTTTGTTGGGTTATTTCTCCTTTCTTCTTTGGGTTTCCCAAAGTTTCCTCTATTAATGATATATTTACTGCAATTATCAGAACAAAAACACTAATCGAAACAAAATTACCTTCTAAAACTGGAACTGACAGTTACCTGTTATCTACTGAGTTAACAGGGACAGGGTCCTAGTTGGCTTGATTTAGTCCCTGCTTGTGGGTACAGAACAAGAGAAGCTGGGTCACAGCAGCGGCTACCTTAAACCCTCATAGAAGTGAGAGGCAAGATGTTCAGCAGTCAAGCCAAGAGGCTCCTGGGAAGGTGCCAGGTCAGTCTTTGTGGAGAGGGGAGTGGAGTGTGGCCTACTCTTTAAAAGCAGGAACAAACAGGAATCAGAGGGCACAGGCTACAGGCTGACAGGGATCTTGAGACCTACCAATGATATAGGACAGGATCAGGTTCCAGCCGGTGATGAAGGCCCAGAGCTCCCCCACTGTCACATAGCTATACAGGTAGGCTGAGCCGGTTTTGGGGACACGAGCACCAAACTCGCCATAGCACAGGCCAGCCAGCACAGAGGCCAATGCAGCAATCAGGAAGGAGATAACGATGGCAGGACCAGCATCCTCACGGGCCACAGCACCAGCCAGGACATAGACACCAGCTCCCAGGGTGCTGCCCACCCCTAGAGCCACCAGGTCGAAGGTGTTCAGACAGCGAGACAGCCGGCTCTCTTCCCGACTGCAGTCTACCACTTTCCGCCGCAGCATCTGGTGACCCAGGCCGAGGAGGTTTTTACAACCCATTGTGCTGTGTAAATCTGTCAGAAAAGAAAAAGGAAAGTGGTTGTTTGGTCATTGCTGCATGTTTCACCTATGAACCTCACTTTGTTGCAGTATGGAAACACAGGGAGGAAGTCCTTTATAAAATCATTTCCTGCTAAAATGTGTTCATTCTTAGCATTCCACCAGCAATCGTCCTGGGGCTTTCCAGTCCATACAGAAGCACATAGCTGTTCCTGCACAAGGTCTCTGAGCTTCCATATTTTGGTTCTTAGCTCAAAACTTTCTACGAATGTATGTAATAGAGTACTGGGAACACAAACTAATGACACTGTTCACAACCTCATCAATGACTCATAGGATAAACAAGATGTAATTTCAAGTATACTGTATTATAATGGAAAGCAAACCAAACTGTATCTTAATTACTAAAATGCATAAGGCTTGAACAGTAAGACAATACTTTCTAGATCTTTCTCAGATCTGCTACGGACAAGCGTCAAGTTATTTCCACTTTTAAGGTAACAGAGTTGGATCCAAGCTAGAAAATGGTTGAGAGTATTTCAAAACTGTCACTACTCCACAAAGCTCCTTCTGGGCCAATACTGGAACCATGTGTCATGTGACATGCTCTTGGGGATTCATTGAGAGCAGGCAGGCACATGCTCATCTACTCACTGGCTCACTTCATCCATGATCACATGGGACAATGCCCCCCACTCAGGACTGGGGTCAGCAAAAGCACCAGGGAACTGTGGGCCTAATTTTGATTGACGTGATCAAGGTCAACATCAGCAGTAGAAGCCAAGCTGAGCAGATGATGTGAAAAGGGCACTTTACCTCTGTGATCCCCACCAAATCCATAAGCCCAGTGTAATCATAAGGAAACCACCAGCCAAATCACAACAGAGACATTCTACAAAATCCCTCGCCAGTGCTCGGAAACTCAAGGCTATCATATACGAGGAAAGCCAGGGCAAAGTATCACCAGAGACAAGAAGACCTGATAGAAATGTGATGACCAAACACAGTAGGGGACCCTAGGATCCTGGGACAGAGGGACCCTGAAGGAGTACACAGACTTGAACAAAATAACAGTACGTCAATCATAGCTCCTTAGTCACAACTAATGCACCGCACCAATGTATGGTATGTGTTGATGAAGGGGAGGGGGGTGAGGATGTGGCTCAGTGGTACAGCACCTACCTAGCATGCACTAGACCCTGGGTTCCACCCCTACAATGGAATAAATAAATATATAATGGGAGAAATTGGGTATGGGATTTAGGGGAATTCTCTGTACTATCTTTACCATTTTTCTGTAAATATGAAACTGATCTCAAATTAAGAGTTTACTTAAAAAATCAACAGCCAGTGTGTGCAGGAATATGTTATCAGCATGACTTTGAGCTAAAGTTAAAAAAAATTTTTAATCCCTAATTTTTCATCTTTTAAAAAAATGTATATATTTTTATTTTATGTGTGTAAGTGTGCTGCCTGCATGTATGTAAGTGCACCACTTGAATGCAATAGCTGCTGAGACCAGAAGAGTGCACTAGATACCCTGAAACTGGAGTTACTGACTGTTGTTAGCTGCCATGTAGGTGCTAGAAGAGAAGTCAATGCTCTTAACCACTAAGCCATCTCTCCAGTCCTGATTTCTCACTTTAATCATCAATTGGTATTTTGTTGACACAATGAAGTCACTGGTAAATAAGACTGCCCCAAATCAGGCTCACATGCCTAGAAAAGTCTATTTCTAATCATCCAAGACAGTCTATCTCCTGTGTTTCTCTGTACTCCACTCTTTCCTCTAGGCCTCACATTACAGCGGGCTCCAGGTCACTAAGGAACTGGGGGGTAGTTTTTCCCATTTTCATCTAACAGTCCCATAGAAAATAATCAGGACTTGTAAAATGCTTAATCCAGGGAATCCCCGTTACACAGGCGAGGAAAAGTAACTCAGACAGTGTCAAACAAGGTCACAGAGCTCTGCCTCTTCCTGGCAGCCCTGCAGATGGGAAGGAAGTGATACCCCGTAACAGCTAGGTCGGGGCAAGGTGGGATGGAAATTCAAGGAAATGAGAAATGTGAAATGGCCTTTGATTGGGGGGGGGGGGTAGTCACAGAATCTCAGAGTTTGAAGACCCAAGCAAGAGAACTTGATGGATTCCCAGTGTCTTGAGCAATGCAAGGAAGCGACTATTTTTGGAAGTGCTCAGACCAGGAGCAGACCCTACGGTGTTTCTGTAAGGCAGGCAGTGTGCCTTGGGAAGAAATATGCTTCCTAGACAGCAAGACAAGGTTGTGGGTGGCCAGGAGGAGCAGTAAGTGCCAAAAGCCTGCTACTGCAGGATACCAGTCACATGGAACAAATAATTAGGAACTGGTACTTGAATTAAGATATTCTTGATAGGAAGACTTACTTTGAAAAACAACCCTGTGCACAAAAAGCTGTGCTAGAGATCTAGGAAAATGTTGCAGGGCTCGGGGTGGAGTTCAGCCATAGAGTGCTCACGGATGCTTGCCTGGTATGCATGTTGCCCCCACAGAAAACCTCCACAGTGCCTCTTGGAAGAGGTACACTGAGCACAGGTATGCCCCAGGAACAGATTTCTGAGCCTCCCTGGAGCAGAATGTGAACTCAATGACCTCATGCTAGGACAGATGGCTCTCTTGGCCACGCATGGGTGCAAAGCACATACGCACAGATGTAACCACGTCACCAGCAGCACCAACAGGATGCAGTCAACACCCACTCCAAGAAGCAACTCATTAATGTTGAAGGAACTTTACCACCTTCAAGATGAAGGTTATAAGTATGGATTTGGAGCACGAACAGGATGCAGTCAACACCCACTCCAAGAAGCAACTCATTAATGTTGAAGGAACTTTACCACCTTCAAGATGAAGGTTATAAGTATGGATTTGGATACAGAGATATCTACTTTTCAGATATAATGTGAAGAGAGAGCTCTACGTGAGACAGTGTAACCACAAGGCTGCAACTCATTTTGCCCAAACATCTGCACGGTGGCTCACTGTCTTAAGTGCAGTCCTTAGTGACTGAGATGTGGGAGGGGGTACAGAGGGCTCACTAACTTCCCACCATTTCATCATGTTTACTAAAGTACTACATCCTGATGAGGAGAGCAAACTTGATTCTTGTTGAAGGCACTGGAACAAAAGTACTGCCAGTTGCTGTCAGGAACTGAGAGAGTTAATAATGCAGCAAACACAAATGTCTCAGGTGTCCACTTCCACATCCCAGGGCAGGAGGAAATGAGACAATACCTCACTATATACTCAGAGTTTATTTTAAGAAATATGGTTTGGGGGTGGAGAGATGGCTCAGTGGTTAAGAGCACTAACTGCTCTTATAGAGAACCTGGATTCAGTTCCCAGCACCCACATTGTGGCTAACAACCATTTGTAACTCCAGTTAAAGGGATCTCACACCCTCTGCTGGTCTCTTCAGGCATCACACACATTTAGTACACTTACATACACGTAGGCACAACTCTCATACACACAAAAATTAAAATTTTAGCTGGGTGTGGTGGCGCATGCCTTTAATCCCAGCACTTAGGAGGCAGGGGCAGGTGGATCTCTGTGAGTTCAAGGCTAGCCTGATCTACATAGTGAGTTCCAGGCCAGCTGGGTCTATGAGGAGACCCTGTCTCAAAAAGACCAAAAATAAATAAATTCATTAATTAATTAAAATGAAATTTTGAAAATAATCATGATTTTTTAAAAAAAGAAATATACTTTGTGTCTCTTCAGTGGTATTTTAGAAAACTGTTCCCAAACAGGAGTCCTCTGTGTCCATTCACATCCTGACACCTCTTCCATTCAGTCCAGGACTCCAAAGCCTCTCAACCACCAGTGAGGCAAAACACCAGGCTTCTCTGCACAAAGCAAAATCTATCTGTCCCAATCCCAGCAATCGAGTGGAGGCAGACTTCCTGTTGCTGGGACTCACACAGAAAGCTGCCAGGTGTGGAAAACAGGATCTTCCCAAGGGGAAGGATGATCTATACATAGTTGAAACTGATTTTTATTAGAGGATTTGATAGGAATCTTGCAACACCAGGAGTCTCAGCCTCATCATACTCCCTGGTCATTAATTAAGCACAGTAATTTGTCCCTTACAGAAATTCTAACTCTAAACTTTATCCCAGTCATCATCACATAAAAACAAAAATAAAATGATCCAGTGGGTCAGGGTTTCAGAATGAGTTTCTTGGACTTTTTCTAAATTTCTAATATAGGTGGTTGGTTATGAATAGTGTGACTTTTTCAGTCTCAAGTTTAATCAATAATTCCTTCCAACTTGATGATTTGAGGGAAAGAGGGGTAAGAAGGGAGCCATTAGACTACATTTCTAAATGTCATCCTTCAGAGAAAATCTTAACAAACCTGAACACTGAAATCTCTCCTAGGTCTTCAGAATGGCCCGTCCCCTAACAACCAGCTCCTACTGCAGCCTGGTGCAAACCATTAATCCATCGTTCTGATGGGAGGCAGGAAGCAGTCTGCATTTGTACCAGGTTCAAGAAACTGCATCACTGCTAGGATGGCAACTTCCTGAGATATCATAAATGGGAAGGCATAGCCACTAGAGTCAACACAGGAGCTGGCCAACCCAAATTGGTGTGGGGGCAACTGGCTCATGGGTATCTGGTGGGCTATAGAGTAACAGGGCACAAAGCTTTAACAAGGATTCAACAGAGGAACCTGTCACCAGGGATGATAGGGAGTCCCAAAAAGTACATTCTAGGATGCTAGCTGTTGGGGTGGGGGTTGATGACATGAGGGGAAAGCTATGTTGAAGGAAATGAGCTCAAAGCAGGATCCACTTCCTCCACAGATGTTAGAAGACCCAGGTGTAAGGATCTGAACTAAAAGGAAAAAAATCAGGGTGCAGAGAGAACCAGTGCATACTTGGGATGGAGACCTTCAAAGTAGGAGCCATGGAGGTATACAGAGGAATAAGGCCAGAACTGAATATGGTTCAAGAGAGCAGCAATCA